GAATACAGTTTTATCACTTCTGCAGTCCTGGGGCATGCAGTTGTTGGCTTCAGCTCAGGGCACTTTTATTGCAATGGAGGAGATGGTTATTGTTAGAGAACAAGTACTTTCAAAATCATGTGTAATTATTTATAATATCTACATATGTGGTAAGTTAAAATAGAAGGAAGAACATGACTTAGTACTACAAGTGTGGGAGAATAACCTTGGGCAAGGTCAAAAAGAGGAGACTGGAGTAGTATCTTGGCATAAAACTATGGCTTTCTTTGCTCTATATGTTCTGTAAATCAATGCATGATGAAAAGAAAAATGCCCTTTAGGCAGGAGTACTTTTTAAAAAGTTGAAAGTGTGGGGTTTTTTTTTCCCTCCCCCCTATTACTATTCCAAGATAGCTGTTGGTGTATTATAAGTGCACCTAACTTGTAGATAAGAACATTGTAACTTTATCTTAATTGCTTATTCTTACTTTTTGTTCTCCTGATTATCAGCAACTTTATCTCCACGTATGTAGTGTAAAAAATATAGGCTGTGAGAACCAAAGTCTAGATTATGGTTTATTCAATCTTAAACAGTGTTTCCTTTTGGACCTGTGTCCTTTGAGCTACAAAGAACCAATTCTGTTCAGAGATGTTACTCTTGAGCTCAGTCTGTTGTAAGAGGCTGCACTTTCTGAAGTTAAGAGCGTATTTGTGCAGGCAGTGCCTGCTGCCGGAGGTGATAACGCCTGATGTTTGGTCAGTGCCAGGGCTGGGGATGCAGAACGGCCCTGGCTGAGACTTGCTCCTGTAGTGACCGAGGCCATGGCTGGGTCTTGTGTGCCTCACTGGGGGTGCCGGGAGAGAAAAGGGGTCTCAAGGAAGTAACAGGTGGCATCTTTGGGAAGGAACAGACAGGACAGGTGCCTAGCGAGAGTATTCCATTCCATGTACATCATATTCAGCATAGACCTGAGGGATCAGTGGCCTCTTCAAAGGCCAGCATCTGAGGAGGACTCTGTCTGTTCTTCTGCATTTGATCCTGAGCCTGAGTTCCCAAATCCAGCCCCTGTGCCCAGTTCCCCCTGATGCGGAGCCTGGGGCTGCCCTGGTGGCACCTGCTCAGCAGTATTCCTGGGGACTGATATTGGGGGGAGAGTCGGGTTCGATATCACGTTTGTATATATTGGTATATAGTTCATTATTTTTTAATTTTCTTATTGATACTGTTATTGTTCATTAAAGCTCTTTTAGGTTTCTTTTACAGTCAGTAAGTCTCTCTACCTGATTTCCTTTTTCCCTTCCCCTTTGGGGAAAGGGTTTACAGAGAGCGTCTGCCATTTGTTTAGTGGCTGGCCCAGCCCTAACCCATGACACATAATTTAGTGCCCAGTGTGGCTCCCAGTCTGACAGTCTTCTCTTTAATGTAGCTGCTGACACTTCTCTTGTAGACCACTTAGGTGTTCTCTGCTGTTTTATTAAAAGCTTCCTTGTGAAACATATGCTGTGTTACACAAGCAAAACTAAGAATGCCACGCTCCAGGAGCTGAGCACAGTGCTGAAGACTTTTAAGACACCACTAGCCAGTGTCACAGAAATACAGCCAGACTGCAGTTTAGTCCTTATGTGGTTATACTATTTCACTCTAATTGTTGATCACAAGATAACTTTCTGGCCTCTGTTTTGTAAAGAAACTGATTTAACTGTCTTTGGTAGTTCTTTGTTTGGGCGGAGTGCTTCTCAGTGTTGTACAGATTCACAGAAATGTCTCTGACCAGCGAGATACTGACTTCTTTTACCAGTATCTTGCATTTACATTTCAGACTTTAAGCTGCAGAGCTGAAGCATGATAAGGACATGAGTGTATGTTGGATCAGACAGTGATGAAGTTCTTACAGAATAGACTCAATGTCATTTTCGACAAACTGTTCTTTAAGTGCAGATGCTTTATTTAACCTAAGAGGTGAATAATGTTTCTGTTACTTTTGAGTCAAGCTTGTCAATGATTGTGTGCTCAGTTTATCACAGATCTCACCAGTTCCAGTTTTTGTTCACCAGAGGCCCTCAAAACCCCCATGTGATTGTGGATTTTGTCCTTAAGTGTCTTGTCCCTCAAATACATAGTCTACTAAGCAGGCCTAGATTTTTTAAGATGTGGATTTCTGGCGAAATTCCAAACTCTTGTGTCCTCTAATTTAGAGTATAGCAAGTAGAGAATACAATATACTGGTCGAAACCAACACCTAATCTTCATTCCTGTTCCTGTTTTGAGTTTGAACTGGTATTGGTGGTAATGGGAAGACATAACACCATGCTGGCGATTTAATCTACACAGAGCCTGAATTGGAATGACCCTGTATTTTTTGATTTTGAGGAGGAGGGGAAAGATGTGTTCTACTGTTGTAATATGAGATAGTGTGGCATGTTTTAGATTTTTCCAGAGACTATTAATAAACATGAAAGTATTGTGTAAGCACATGCAGGCGAAAGAGTAGACCTGGCAAAATATTGTACTTTACACACAGCATGTTATTTTGAGTGGCCATATCACCTACGGTATTCCTGTGCCATGTGTTCTTGGCTGATTGCAAGAAGATTAGTGCAGTGGAATTTTTTAATTTCATGTGACAGCTTTACTTTATTGCTCATGGTTTATTACTAACCTTCAGGAATCAAGAGAAGAATGCCGGGATCAAGTGATGAGAGTATTTATTTTTTAATTGCTTGAAGCATAGAAGAATACTAGAAGGGTATTTCTACCAGAAAGTCAGATTTAAAATTAAGATTAGACATATAATTGTTGAGGTTTAATTTTTATTTGTAATAGTTTAAAATTTATGGGGTTGTTTCCAGTTGTAAGCGGAAGTATTTTTCTAGGTGTTTCTATTTTTAAGAATTACAGCAGTAATCTTTACAGGAGTGAGCACAGTGAATTTCTGGTGAAAGGAGGCAGAGAGGATGCAGAGGTTTAAGAGGAGATGGTCCTACTGGGGTCAGTTACAGATTGCAGCATTTACTCGAGTAAGGAAATGTATTTCTGTACAGTCCATAGAATTGTAAGTATCTTAGCTCAGCTAGTGGACTTAATTTTTAAGTATTTAGCTTGCAGCTAGTAGTAGCAGCGAACGTACTACTCAGTGTAAGAAGTAATTCCCTTGATTTACATCATTTTGCCTCCTATTATTTTGAGCTGAAATTTTCCGCCCCTTAAAAATAGGAAGCCCTAGGCATAATCGAAGAGACACACTGGCACATGATTAGACAGTCCTCCTAGTAGAAATACCATTCTAGAGAAATAATAATGTAACTTTACACTGAGATAGTGAATTGTGAGGATCATGGCTAAGGAGGCAGGTTAGTTGTAGGGACAATGGTTTCTCTCTCACATTGGGTGTAAGTGGTTAGGCTTATTATTAGGTCAGAATAAACATTTGATTTTAAAATGCATGGTTTGTTTTGTAAACAAATCAAAGAGTATATACTTCCTAAGCAATTCAGTAATTTAAATATGTCAAATATATTAGGCAGGTTGTTTTAGTAATACTTCCTTTCATTTTAAGTGCACAACCCCTTAGCTAAAGAATTGATTGCAACAATATTATGCATGAGGCTCCGAGATGCCAAGAATTCCTAATAAAGGTAGTGTGCTTAAAATAACATACCATACAGCTTTCAATCCTGTTCTTGATCCCTGGTCTTGGTGACATGGAGCATAAGCAAAAGTGAGATCTCACTTTTTGAGGTACCTTGAAAGGACTGATGACACAGATGTAACGGAGCAGCAGAAATGTCAAGGAGGGAGGAGGCAGAGAGAGGCTTGAGTACTAAAGAATCTTAGTGCTGTCTGAAAAAAAACAACCCACCCAAGGGTATTATTTCAAATTGTAAAAAAATGAGAAATACTTCTAAATGAAATTTGACACTTTGTTCTAAGGTGTGTGGTAATGTATTGAAAGCGTTTACAAAGGCTGAAAGGTACTATATGCTGCCTTAATCCCTCTCAATCGTATTATATTAAGGAAGATACTGGAAGTCACCTATAACATGTTATCTGCCTGTAATTTTTCATAAAACAAGTATTATACAATTTGGAATGGAAATTACTTAATTGGTTGATTCTTAATGTCTTTTCACTTGTACATTTGGTTAAATTTCCCTTGCATATCTGAATTTGATACTTTTTACTATTGCATATGATGTTTTAAGCCTGAAAATCTTGCATGTAAATAGAGGAAATGTGGTGTACATGCTTCATGCTGGCTTTTAACATGGTGTTAGTATTAGTTGATTTGTCATAAGCATCATATGATGCACCATTGTTAGTTAGCTTTAGAAATTTCAAGTTGCTTTATTTAAATAAACAAAATCAAAACCACCACCACCACCGACTAACAGTCAGAATGTAAAGCTTACTAAGTGCCTGGGAATAAGGTTGCTGCTGACTGTTGAAGTGCCAAACTCTGATCAGGAACTGGATGTTAACGTGGAGCGACGCTGATTCCTTGTGTGCCCTCCCTTCCTTTCCCCACCTCTGCCTGGAGTTTAGCCAGGAGGAAATGCTCTATACTCATCAGAGGCTAAAGTTGTGTCGCAGGTGTTGTAAATTATTGTTATTTCCAGAGGCTTTGTGCATTTTCAGCTGTTACATCTTGTCAGAAATGAAGAGACCAGAAAACCCACGTTGTAATCAGTAACGTAATCCTAAGGCATAATGCCTTGTAAAATGCTGCATCCACATGTGGCCTTACAGTCTGTGAAATGGGACAGACTTTACCAGCCTTGTGACCTGGCAATGCCTTTTTTTTTCGTTGAAGTGTGTGAGTGATCATAGCAACTTCCAGGAGATTCCTTGAAAACTAATACAGTATGGTTTTTTCCCTCTAGCTTAAAAAAAACAACAAAAAAAAGCTACCTCTGCCATGCAAGATGTTCTTAAATTTTGTTTTAAACTTTTTTTTAAAAGGTACTTCTGCACTTTTCTAAAACACTAACTTAATAATTAACTTACTCTTCTACAGGGTGTGATAGGTGTGCAGCTGGTGGTTACCATGGTGATGGCTAGTGTCATACAGAAGATCATACCTCACTATTCTCTTGCTCGTTGGCTTCTCTGTAGTGGCAGGTAAGATAAGAAACAGTTGCTATACTGTGTGTGAATATGGTAATGATACGTCAGAGTAATAACAGTAAAACACACTGATTTTTTTAAACAAAAAAATTAATCTGCTGTTCTTAATTTTTTTACCATAGGGTTGTGACACCTGACTTACTGGCTCCAACGTATAAAGACAGTGTTGCTATGAAAAAACAGATTTGCTTGTTACTATTAATTGTATCAGTCACAAAGTTAACTGTTGTCCAGCCCTTACATCATTAAAGGCACAAGCTGTGTATTCTAATATTAAAAAGCTAAACTGAACACAAGACACTGAAGAATGGAAGATTATTTTTTTTTCCTCTGCACTGCCTCAGTGTTCTTGATAATCTACCTGCTGATTAGCTTTGCATATAAAGAGTGCTTAGGTATTTATTAAAAATTCTATTTTTTTAATACTTCATAGGACAGGATTAGTATAAATTTCAATACACTACTTCCTCATAACAATAGATCAAACAGACATAATGAGTTGCAAGGGGAGCATTCCCTGTGTGGCGCTATCTATAATAACAACAAAAACCAGCAGCTGTTTTGAATATAAATCAGTATCTTAAATATTAAAAGAATCATAGACACTGTGTTTCTTTGCTTGGCAAGAAAAACACTTTTTATGATTAGAAGGTAGTGTGCTGTCTTTTGTAATTGTTAAAATTTGGAGAATACCAGATCTGTACTCCCTGATTTCTGAAGGATTATCCTTGAATAATGATACACTCCATAGGAATCTTAACCACTGTCATATAAATTATCATTACTTTTTTTTTCTCTGTATCTCTGAATTACTAACTTTTTTCTTCTTAATTTTTCCCATTTCATCACCCAAATACTTGCTAGTGAAAAATGATTAAATGTTTAGATGTGTGTTAGATATCACTGATTAGGTATAATGGGAACCAGTAATTGTCAGCTGAATAACATGAACAGGAACCATACTCTTCATTATTGTGTTAAGTTTCATTGCTGATCACATGTGCAGGGTATTGATCACCTTTTTTTAGGCTCTGAAAGAATATCACATTAATGAATATGAAATTGTGCACCAGTTATTTTTAAACTGTGTTACTACCATATTGTTTTTATCAGCTTTTATTCAGCTAGCGCTTTCTACTTTTTATATCCTATTTAAAAGATGTATTTAAATTTTGCTTTCAGAATTTAAATACTTAACTTACCTTTCTAAAGAATTGCTTAATACTATGCCCATGTTCTTAATTCTTATCAAGTTTTCACTTTCTGTATCCTTGTTCTAAGGCATGCCTTGCGCCAATGATAGGGAGAGGTTTGCTGTTCAAATATTTTTCATAATTCTTTTATCTTAGGAAATCTGCAGATAGGTAAATACATAAAGCAGGACTTCTGTACTTCTGCTTATGGAATTCTGCATTAAAGTCAATGGGAGTCTTATTGCCTTTCAAGTTAGTAATCTTGGAAATTTCATTGTATCTTTTCAGTGTTCTTCAATTTATCTAGTAACTATTGTAGTGCATTGTAATTTCAGTCATTGTGAATAACCTCCTGAATATAAGAATTATATAGAGAGCCAGGAATAATTCAGTGTTTCAGAAATCAAAACACATCACAAGTTTCACTGCAATAAGAATCTGGTTTTTAATGGCAGAAAGAATAAAAAAGTTCTCTTCGTAGTTTAGCTGACAGACTATCTTTTATGTTAACTCGTTTTCCTTAGTGCTGTCATTTTCGTTAAGTGTTAAATGTTAAATGTAGAGACAGGCGCACTCTTAAGCATTCCAGCTTTTTTAGGGAAAATTGCAGCCTACTTCGTCTTTCCTTTGGCAGTATGCTTCAACTAGACTTTGGTTCACCACATGGGCTTTTTCAGTTATTTTGACTTACCCTACTTTTGGAAGAAAGACTCTTATCCTTCGTAAGCAAAATAGTCTGGAATGTCGACCCATAACTCTAATCAGTTGGGAGGATAAACACATTACCAGGCAAGCCAGAAAACTCTTAAGTGACCAGTTGATTTCAAGATGCCTCTGTGTGTGTGTTTGAAGTTTGTTAAAAGGAAACATAGATACTTCAAAATTTAAAATAATTGTTAGATAGACAAAAAATAATTACTCATTTACAGAATGAACAGTTGTCGTTGACTGTTGAAAAAACTAATTAAATTTGTAAAGAAGTAGAACTTTTTTCAAGCAGTGCTATTTTCGGAGCTTGAAATTCATGTTTATTAAAGCCAGTGAATTGGCAGCCTATGTATCTGCACAGGCCTTTGCATTTTTAACTAATAAAACATTCCCTACCAAAATGTTGCTTTTAAGTTCCTCAGCTACATTCTGTTCTCGGGCCACTTCAGGAAGACAGGAGCAAACGGATGTTTTGTTGTGCATTGCTTAATGACCTTCATTCAAATTAACTGGGGCATATCTGTGCTGCTTTTGCTATTCAGGCTAATTTGGATATGTCAAAGCTACAGAGTAATTAGTTGTGGGATCTTAGTGTTAAACAAATATAAGCTAAAGCAGGTACAAACTACTATTTTTTTATTTTTAGCCCAGCATTTATGAAAATGTTTATTCAGGTCTCTTGGTTTTGAGGTTTCAAATGCAAGATATGTAGGTTTTATTAACTTAACTACTAGGAAATAAGATTTTGGATATTTTTTATAATTATGAATCACAACATAATTCTGTAGCATAATTAAGAGCAAATTGTGGTTTAAGTGTTTGATTTGTGTTGGTATGTTACACAGAAAGAGAATTTTGTCTGTTCTACCTTAATAGAGACTATTTCTCTATCAGTGCAGGAAGGATTATGAAAAATTAGCTTCTAACACAAGTGATTTACTATCATTACAGAACTACTTGTGGTACTCTGAGCATGCCAAGTTGAGATCTGCAAGATAGTGAATGACAAGGCAGAAGACTATTTCTCTGCTTTCCCCTACTTTCTCTAGGTTGTGTGAAAGATAGAGGTTAATCTCTCCAACGTAGTTTGTGTTTGTGGATGAAAAAGTAGATGCTCTGGTTTCTGTATAGTTCTCAGTCTTACAGTCTGTTTTGCAGCAGTTTGCAAATAGCAATTTTTACAGCTGGGACCCACACATGATAAGAAAAAAACCCCAAACAATCCCACAACCAAGTAACCTACACTCTTACTGATGCCTCAAAAAAAACCTCACAAAAAAAATTCAGCCCCTCTTCTCTCCCCGAAATAGTACTTGTTTATGCAAAGTCTGTAGTATTTGCCATTTTCACTTTTTGAACTGGCGCTGCATTCCTTCAAGGAGAATCCCCAGTGATTATTTGGATCTTTCTGATACATTATTGACTAGTACTGAAGTTCCTTTCTCTTCAAGAAATCTCAGCATCAGCTGACTCTTTAGCCCAACAGTACCTACTGACACAGGCTTGTGGAATCCCCTGTTAACCAGACTGTATTCTTCCTAATTTTGATGGATTTAACTTACCTGTTATGGCACTTTTTCAGTTAAGGTGATGTTCATGACCTCGGTGCAACTGCCTGTTTAATGCTTCGTTACACCAGAAATTAAACTGCTGAAACTGGGAGCTCTTCCTGAAACATGTTTTATTTTTGTTGTACAATTTTTATTCATTCCCACTTCTCTGTCCTCAGCCAGGTTTAGTGTTGTGTCAGAACAGAGGAGTTTTTGACTCCTGTTAAAGATCTGTTTAGTGATTCATTCATTTCATTAAAATTATACCTAGTCTTATAGTCTTTATCCAGCGCCTTGCCGCACGTGTATGCACACGTGAAGTGTCCATGCCGTCATAAGGAAGGTAGAAGTTGTATAATATTGTTGTTTGTGGCTGACTGTTTCTGCTTTTAGCATGATGAACCTCCCCCAGTATCTGTTGTGTAAACAATGTTTGATTAAGAATCATAAAATTACTTATATTTACATGAAGGACCATATTCTGCAAGTATAGAAGTGGGTGGACTAGACTTCTCTTGGGACAAGAAGCCTTTCCAGAAAGAGAGCTGAGAAGCAGGTCTTATTGAGTGGCTTGAGATTGTTTGAGTTTGATGTTTATTTTTGAAATTTGCCTTTCTATCTTTTTGAAACTGGGTGGAACATAACCTCTTAATTCGCCAGGGTGGACTTGAGTGGTCCTACTTGGTGAGGTTTTCTTAATATCAGAAATATCGATGGTTGTGATTTCCGTTATCATCTCATACTGTTACCCTGTGTTAACCTGTGTCACCAATTTAGTGGCCTCCTACCTGTAGAGCAGTACTTCCACATAAATTTCCCAAGCATGTTCCTGTTAATACTTGGGCTTATTTGCCTCAGCATTTCAGAATGGAGATCAGACATTCCTCCTGCGTCTGGGCAGCAACCCTCCTTTGTTGAATGCAGTAAAGGCTTTATTTTAAGTACTGAGGTGCTTGACATGCACGGGGAATTAAAGGAAAATGTCCCATCCTGGAGACTTAACCATCTCTGTTTTTCCTCTTCAGAATTTCCTTACCACTTGCCTTTTAACTAAATGGGTGGTGGGTAGTACATTGGCTTGTGAAGGTGGGAGAACTTGGGGCTTAGCTACATATAATTTAGTGATTTTTTTTTTTTTTAATATCAGTTTTTTGTAGTAGAAGTTGAAGACATCACTGAGAAGGTGTTAGGAAAGCAGTGCTGATGTTACAACCTGCTCTCCTTAAGAAAAAAGACTGGTAATAGTTATGTGATAATAGCTATTCTGGATTCTGGAAAATTACTCTTTTTTCGTTTTTTGAGAGGCATACTTACACTTTATAGAATTGTTGAGAGTATGGTTCTGATGGGTAATGGTTATGGTAGTGAACTTTCTCCACTTTCAGTGTAACCTTGTTTGCTATATTTGATAACTTGAAAATTTGGTGTTTTGAAAAGTGAAGGGCTTTCACTTGAATCACAAAGGGCAAAGCTTTCTAATTAAGAGTAAGCATCCTATGTGCTAAGAAAACTGAAGTTTAGCAGTGGTTGTTCAGCTCAGGCAGGGCTGATATTTGCACACACAGATATTTTGTTTAGGTGTTGCAAATTGCCAGTGTCTTAATATGCATATAGACCTATGTTGATATAGAGGTGTTTTTTTTGTTTTTTGTTTTTTTTTTTTAAGAAAAACCCACTCTAAATGGCTAATATTGATGTTGTTTTACCTGAGATTTACTTTTTCTTTAGTTTGCGGTGGTACCAGCATCCAACTGAAGAACAGCTACGGATTCTTGCAGGGAAACAAAGGGGGAAGAGCAAAAAAGATAGGTAAATACTTGTTTTAAGCTTTTTTTTCTGTATTTTTTTTCTACTTCTTCCTTTTTTTTCCCCCCAGCATGAGCCATATAATAATCTTGCCAGCCAGCTTTTGTCTTAGAATGAGTTGAAAACTGTTAGTTGCATACAACTGCTATACTTGCTTAAACTGTCATAGCTCTATACTGAACTGTGTCCTTTCAGTTTAACAGAGAGTTGAACACACCGGAATTGTGCAGAACTGCCTGATTTTCAGGTCACAAACTTGGTCTGTGAAATTACTGATTTGATGGCAAGGATTTTTTTTTTTTTTTAGTGAATGTATTCGTTTGGATGAAAACTGAGGAAATAAAATCTGTAGGTTTGAAGCTCTTAATCTTGAAACAACAGAAGAAAGATTTGAGTATATTAGTTTAGCATCAGAATACTATGAGCCACCATTCTCACACAGCTGTGAAAAAGGTAAATGTGCTCCTAGGATGAATTAGGTGAAGTATTTCTAGTAGAAGAGATAGGGAAATACTAATCCTCTTGGACAAGGCACCAGTGTAGAACATTATCTGGATTACTGTATACAGTTCTGATCACTCCTGTTTAAGAAAAATGATTTTGTACGTGAACAGAGGGCTGCTAGGATCATGCAGGAAACAAAGTCTGTTTTGCAAGAGGAAGCTAAAAGAGCTTGGCTTGTTTAACCTTGCAGAAAGATGACTGAGAAGGATGGGATAGCTGTCTGTTAGCTAGAGCTGGAGTCAGATTTCTGATGTTCGTCTGTGAAGTACTGGAATGGCCTTACCAGAAGTACATCTGCGGCAAGAACAGATACATCTTGAGGTGGTAGAGCTGACTGTATTGATGCAAGATTTCTGAATTGTCTAAGTTTAAAACAAACCAACCAACCCCTCTACCTTTCTTTTTGGTGTCATAGGAGGTTTCCTTTAGTCCTTTTCCTTTCATTCCAGTGTGAACTTTCTTATAATTCTTAACACTTGTGTTAATCCACATACTGCACATATAATCTCTTCATTGTAGTGTGGTGGTTTTTTTTTTTTTCTCTTTCATAGTTAAGCTACATGGTTATAACACCACCTTATTTGCCACACTTGGGGGTATAAAATTAAGTTTTTCCTGTAATATTAAATGGCTTTAATTTTACGTTTGTTACAGTATTCTCTCAAATTCAGAAACTCATCTGACAGTTTTCTGTAACAATTTGAGGCAAAATAATTGTGAATAGCATTACAATTTTTAACTGTCCATGTAACCAGGGATATTTATTCATATGTAAAGTAACTTTAATTACATAACTGTAAGTCCACCCGTAGGAGCCTTGAACAGAAAAACACAGTGACATTATACATTGCTCTTACTGCCCTAACTGAGCCTTGCTGGTCTTTTGCTGTGCAAACATACCTGTACTCACTTTCACCAGACCAGTTACATACTGACAGCTAGCTGAGTGGCATGTTAATATGTGCTGACGTGTAAGATTAAGTTTTTGCCGCCTTTGGAAAATTTACAGTGAAATTTAGTAGGAACATGCATCACAAGTCACCTATATATGCACTAAGTTACTAAGCTTCTACATTTGAAGTTTCAGTTGTGATGCTATGTTTTCATGTCTGTGTAGTCAAATTTTGGTGGTGTGATTTAGGTGTTATAAAATTGATATAATTATCTCACTGTTTTAACCTGTAACCATGAGAACACAATAGCAGTAGGTAGTTGTGTGTACTGGGATAAATGTTTAATCACAGAGGGATGTGAAACTTAATGAATACTACACATACTTTTTAGTCAATAAATATATCTCTGTGTCCTCTAAAGAAGCAGCTGTTGTTGGAGGAGAACTGAAGTAGAAAACTGTTCCTGTTGAGTTGGTTTCGATGTATTGTTTTAGGCTGTATAAAAAAAGATGTGAAACAGATGGTGTTATGAGAAAATAAGGCCACATCTATTTTGTTTTCACCTTATCTTTTCAAGATAAAGAATTTACTTTGACAAGCCCATAGTCTTGCAGAATGCACTATCTGTCCCTTAAATACTATTCCAGTTTGAATTGCTTAAAAGAGAAATGACAAAAGGAGATCCAAGGAACTTGCTTGGAAAGTAGACTCAGAAACAGTTGCAATGTGAACTTGTAGTCCGTTTTATTCAGTGCATTTTACACTCCAGTATGTTATATTGTAGGTTATAGTAGCACATGAATATTAGGCAGATTTTGTGTTTTAGAATCATTCACATTATATTAAATTTTTAGGCTAATAAGAAGGTCCATAGCTACTGTGAATTACTTTGCATTAAAGCTGTCGATGATCATGTGTGTGTTCTGACTGTGTCTCTTCGCTTATGGGTCCTCTGGGATAATTACAGTGTAGGAATACCAAATTTTGTATGATCATCTCCCTCAAGATGGGGTGGTACTTGGTCTGTGCTGTAGGAAAACATTGGAGTGCAGTTGGAGGTAGGGAAGCACACTGAAGCTTACAGGTACTCAGGTGTTTGGGAATTGTTGCTTAGGCTTGAGCATCTGAATTTTTGGAGTAATGCTTTAGATTCCTATCCTCAGTTTTCAGTTTGTCCACTAAAATGATAAATTACATAAATTGTAAAATATAAAATGATACTGAGAAAATCACCTGAAAACAAAAATAGTAATAATGTTTTCTGCTTGTATTCTTAACTCACAAATTATTTGAGAGGACATCAGTCCTTAAGTTTAATTTCATGATTGACTGAATTTCTCCTTATGTCCCAATAACTCATTTTTCTATAGAAAATACTTGTCTCCTTTTCTAATTTCCGAGGTGCCATTCCAAAATGTGTCAGAGTTTACTTCTAGCCATTTAGGAGTTTTGAGTTTGATTTTTTTTTTTTTCCTTTTTTATTTTCTTTTCCATTAACCTAAGGAAACATTTTCTGATCAACTTTAAGGACTTTTTGCATAGTGATGAAGTATGTTTTACCGTAGTTAGTAATAGTAATCTTACAGACCTATTTAATATAACTTGATTTTGTTAGATTCTTTTAACAGCATCTTGTTTTCTTTGATTTAAGGTCTAGTAGTATGGCTTATTTTCAGGAAAGTGAAGAACACTTTATACCTGGAGGGACTGAATGATGTTGGTAGGGTAGATCTAAGGACTTCTGAGTTTGGGACACACATTGTGGAACTTGGTGCCACGAGATACTACACAGCTCAACAAAACCCGTACTGCTTCAGAAAGGGCGTAGGCCAGTTCCTGTAAATCTTGACAAATGGTAGTTTCACAAGATGCAGTCCCATGGCTCAGATCATATTCGAGTTGGTTAATGGTGGAAGCCAGGAAGGGTTTAGCAGTGTGAGGAAGAAAATTTCGTTGCCTTATTCCTTCCAATTTTGTAGGCAAATAGCTACTTTTATGATGGGAGTAAATGAATCTGCATGTTAATTCTTTATGAAGCCCCTGTGTATTGCTGTTGCGCTCTGCAGCAACAGCTAAAACCTGGAACACAGCTTGGAGCCCTTGTGCTGTGTCACTATGTACTTAGCCTTGTCTGTCTCTCAGAAGAGAGCACCATGTGTTAGTTTTTTCCAAGAGATACTAGATCTCTAGGATTTCCAGTAATACTGAGATAATTTCTTTTAATTTTTTTGCTTATTTACATAAGCAGCATATGAATTGAAAAAAGTCTAAAGTATTTCTACACATACCCTTATAAATGAGAAAACTGTCTTAAAGTTGTCTTTGCTTGATGGCTAGTGGGATGGATCTTTCAGGGACCTAGGTTCATCCGGCTTGTGTGTCATACTTGCCAAGCACTCTGTGGTGGAAAAACGCTTAATGCTTTTTTGAGAAATTCGCTTTTTATTTGTTTCTTTATGATCTGTCTTCCTGAATAGATTACTGCTTGTTATTTCCAATAAACATTTTAAAACATTTAAACACTGCCAAGACTGTCTTTTTTACGTACTTTCAGTTCAAAGACTTTAATGCTCCTTCTTTAAGAATCCTGATCTAGACCTCTGAATTTAGCTTGTTTTCTTCAGGTTATCGGTGTGGCAGGGCAGATCATTTCTGCTCTGTAGCTATAGTTCTATCACAAACATTTTTGGAACTTACTAGAACACCCTGTAGCTCCTTGAACAGAGAAAATCAGTGAGCTGAAGTAAATACTGGATGATGAATCTTGCCCTAATACATGGCTCAGGGTGCAACATACAGAAGCCATTTAAACCCATACCACAGTAGTATGTCAGAGCCTTGCAAAATAAAGCTGAGAAACATTGACACACCTGGTTGTTCCTCAAGATTTGAGCTTGATTTAATGTTTCTAGCTAACTGTATAAAAATCTTTGCATTTGCTAAGAAGAATTGTCTAAAATTTTCTTGAATTTGAAATGCCATTATATGTTGAAAAAGGTTTATTTTCTCATATCCATGTATGCAATAACTATTTATTTATTTTTGCAGAAAATATAATGGTCATATTGAAAATAAACCCCTAACCATTCCAAAAGACATCGATCTTCATCTGGAAACAAAATCTGTGACTGAAAGGGACACTATTGGTAAGAATATGTGGATGCAAGCAATAATACAGTATTTCAAGTATATCCTGATTCTTTCTCTCAAGTGTTTATTTGTGATGAATGCTAGAATATGTTTTTGTATTGACACTGCATGAAAAGAAGTGCAACTGATAATAAAGTTAAATGAGAAAGCAAGAATTAGGGCTAAGTCTTCTTTGTTTTTCTGCGGGTGACATCTTAATAGCAGTATTATGGAAAAGAATGAGTAGGTGAAATCCAGCATAAAGCACATCTATTGTTGTATCAGGCATCTATAGCAATATGAGACAACAATGAAAGGATCACGTCATAGTCTGTTTGGAATAGAGACTGTAGCTTTGTACAAGAAAGTGACAATTGGCAGATGTCGAAACATACACGTTCTGCTCAGGTAATACAGGAAATGTGCTGCAGTACTGAAACCTCCTAGACCTTTCAACCACACATCTAAAACACTGAGGTAAAATGCTTAGAAACCAAACAGTGACAGTATAAAAATAAGCAGCATTAAGTGTTTTGGCAGTTGCTGATTTTTTTAAATGGTGATTTTGATGCCTCCTCAATCATAACCCCTCATTCTGTTGCAGAAAACTCATATGTGGGTACATATACATATGTGAGATACATATTTTCTTCTTATCTGCATTTTTATATGCATGTGTCTGATGCATAAATATAGATAGGAAGCACAGACCTATGCAGATTTTTCTGCTTAAATTATCAGATGCAGTGTAGAAAATACCTTTAAGAGGAAGGCAGATTTTTTGAAGCTGACACATAAATGAACAGAGCATTCACAAGTTTCAGTGTTATTTGTTAGAAATTACAGCATTTAACTGTCTCTTTGAGCATTTATAGATATTGATACAATGTAGGGTTTAAGGTCTTAAAGTTATGTATGCAAACTTTTGTTGAATCTGACCAGAGCATAGAATCATGGAATTGTTTGGCTTGCAGAAGAGCTTTAAGATCATTGAGTCCAACTGTTAACCCAGCTCTGCCAGCTCTACCACTAACCCATGTCCCTAAGCACCACGTCTGCACGGCTTTTAAATACCTCCAGGGATGGTGACTTCACTTCCCTGGGAAGCCTGCTGCAGTGTTTGACAGCCCTTTTGGTGAAAATCTTTTTCCTAATATCCCATCTAAACCTCCTCTGGGGCAGCTAAAGTCCACTTCCTCTTGTCCTGTCACTTGTTACTTGGGAGAAGGGACTGACCCCACCTCACTACACCCTCCTTTCAGGGAGTTGTAGAGAGTGGGAAGGTCTCCCCTCAGCCTCCTCTTCTCCAGGCTGAACAACTCCAGGTCCCTCAGCTGCTCCTCGTAAGACTTGTACTCCAGGCCCTTCACCAGCTTCGTTACCCTTCTATGGACATGCTCCAGCACTTCAGTGGCCTTCGGGTCATGAGAGGCCCAAAACTGAACACAAGGTTTGAGGTGTGGCCTCACCAGTGCTGAGTTCAGGGGGACAATCCCTGCCCTGGTCCTCCTGACCACATTTTTTCTGATCCAGGCCAGGATGCTGTTGGCCTTCTTGGCCACCTGGGCACACTGCTGGCTCATGTTGTGCACCTCCAGGTGCCTCTCTGCTGAGAAAATTTCCAACCACTCCTCCCCAAGCCTGTAGCTCTGCCTGTGGTTCTTGGGACCCAAGTGCGGGACCTGGCTTGTTGAACCTCATAAAGTTGGCCTCAACCTGTTGCTCCAGGTCCCTCTGTAGAGCCTCCCTATCCTCCAGCAGATCAGCACTTCAACCCTACTTGGTGTTATTGCAAACTTAATGAGTGTGTACTCAATCCCCCCATCCAGATCATTGATAAATGTGTTAAACAGAACTGGCCCCAATACTGAGCCCTAGCGAACACCACTTGTGACTGGCTGGCCACCGGCCTCCATCCACTGCCACTCTTTGGGCCCATCCAGCCACCCAGTTTTCCTCCCAGTGAAGAGTACGTCCATCCAAGCCATGAGCAGCCAGTTTCTCCAGCAGAATGCTGAAGCAAATAGTGTCAAAGCCATTACTAATGTCCAGGTAGACAACATCCACAGCCTTTCCCTCATCCACTAGGTGGGTCTCCTTGTCATGTAAGGAGATCAGGTTAGTCAAGCAGAATGTGCCATTCATAAACCCATGGTGACTGGTCTGATCCCCTGGTTGCTCTGTACGTGTCTCGTGATGGCACTCAACGTGATCTGTTCCATAACCTTCCCCAGCACTGCGGTCAGACTGACAGGCCTGTAGTACCCCAGATCCTGCTTCCTAAAGAAACAGAAAAGGAGCTGTGCTGCTCCCACCTGTGGTGGGAGGGCAGAGGAAGCACCTTTCCTGTCTGGCTGACTCAGCAGCTGGGTCAGGAGGGTTTCTTCTGCATGCCCAGGGAGCTTCCCAAACTGCTTCCTCTCTGCTGTGTTGTTTTTCCAGCAGACATCTGGTCAGTTAAGTCCTCCATAGAGCAGGGCTGGGTAATATGAGACTTCTTCCATCTGCTTATAGAATATTTCATTTGCCTCTTCATGCTGTTCGGGTCATGTACGACAGACTCCTACCATGATACCTGCCTTGTTGGCCTTTGCCCTGATTCCTATCCGTAACCATTCAACCCTGTCATCACCATCATCAAGCTCTGGGCAGACAAAACACTCCCTAACACTCCTCTCCTTCTTTGCCTACCCCTTCTGAAGAGTTCAAAGCCATCCAGTGCAGCACTCCCCTTGTGCCAGCCATCCCGCCACCTTTCTGCAACGGAGACTACGTCACAGCTTTCCTGCTGCACGGTGTCTTCCAGCCCCTCCGGGCTGTTGCCCATGCTGCCTGCAGTGGGGTGGATGCACTTCCAGCGGGTTATTACTGCTTGTTGCCTTTTGGGGGGAGAAATCCTGAATCTGCGTGACCGTTCTCAGGTGCTCTGTGGTTTCCAGCACATTGGTAGCCCTTGTGTCTTACCTGCCATGTGGATCTCCATCTTCTGGCCCCACAGAGTTAGCAGACCAAAGGACCGTGCTAGCACACTGTCCGTCATTATTATTGTTATTTCATGATGAGTATATTGCGTAGAAATACCTGAGTTTGGCCAATTTCATGTCTTGTAATCATGACTTGTAATCAACCGACAAATGCTCAGTAATGTTTTGTGACTTTTTAGCCCTGTAGTTGTAGGGAAGGTGTTTGGGATGGACAGGCTGCACTTCATTGTCACAAATTGCTCTTTTCAGTTTCCAGCACCTTTGGGAGCTCTCGTCATAAATCACCAAGCCTGGATGCCTCACAGTATATTCTTCCCAGAATTTTTATAATGGAATTTACACAATGATTTATTGCAGTACAGGAGCTACTAACAAAATCTGAAAGAATAAACCATCAGTATCTTAGATGTGTGTTTTTTTAACGAAAAAAGAGGAAGCAACTATATGTAATATTTTAAAATATTGCCCATGAGCTTTTAATTTTTAACAAGAGTCAGTAAAACTCTTGCCTGGAATTGCAGCTAGAGTACACTAGAAAACTATTTTCTGCCGTGATGTTGAGTTCTGAATTAAGTGTGCTTTTATTGAATTTAGAGTATTAATGTATAAAAAAGCTGTGATGATAAAATAGTAAAATCTTTTAGCCTTATAAATTTGAGTAGTAATCAAGCACTGAATAACAGAAACTAAGAGTGAAGTTTGTCGCTCTTTACTTGAATGATCTGAATCAGTTAATTGGAAACATTAATTGTCAGTTCGTTCTATAAATGTCATTAACTACCTTAAAATACCACACCTTTAACGTTTCCAAACTTGTATTTTTCAGCATTACATTATTTTCCAGAATATCAGTGGTTGGTGGATTTTACTGTTGCAGCTACAGTGGTGTATGTGGTGACAGAAGCCTATTACTCCTACGTGAAGCCCTCACAGGAGATGAATATCAGTGTAGTCTGGTGCCTGCTTGTCTTGGCTTTTGCAATGTATCCTTTTCCGTTTTCTTAAATCACTCCATCCCTTCCAAATAGTTTACATCATTCTGCTATTTATATAAAGCTGTTGATTGATAGGACACACAAATATTTAGTGTTTGGAAGAAGAGTCATGTAAGCTAGTGCCATTGGTATGTAATGTATGTGCTGTATATACATGGTCTTTGTACGAGCTGATATCAATAGTTTGTTAACATTAATACCAGACCACTTATGGAAAAAATATGTGTATGTGATCACCCAGTTAGTGCTCATCTGTAGGATGTAATGATTCTAAACTAATTTGATTTTGCCCAGTTTGGCAGTCAGAAGTAGATTTCTCTGCAGAAAGTATTGATAGCTTTTGGAGAAGTGTGCAATTTGTTCCACACTTTTTGTTTTCAGTGTGTTTAATGTGGTACTTCCTGAACAAAATAGTACAGTAATATGTTTGCTAATTTAATGCAGAGATACGTGTGAATTCATAATTATAAAATACGTTCAAGACACCTTTATGAAGTTTATAGAAAATAAAATGTGTAGACCTTTGTAGGAGCTGAGATGGTACATTTGCAAAGCTCTGTTAAAAGTTGAACTCCTCCCTGAAACTGAGGCAAGCAAAAGCAAAGTACTTAGGAAACAGGCCATATCAAACCATAAAAAGAAGCAGCTATTATGTTTGTTTTTACTGGAGGAGGCAATATCCGACAGGGATGCTTGCACAGTAATTAACTGCTTTCTACGTACCAATCCAGATGTGCGCTTCAGGGAGGCCTTTTAACGACGTTATAGGTCTTTGTGTGATAGATAAAGCAGTGGAATTGAAAAAAGGCCTGCAAGAGTGCAGGTTATGGAAAGGTGAGTTAGAAAATTAATTTCTGGAAATCCTCTGCTCCCTCAACAGCTGACAACTAGATAAAGTGCTAAGTTAGGGTTGATATAGCACTTGAATATTCAAAATGGATTCCTCTAGATAAATGCCCATTCTTCAATAGAGATTCTTAGTGTGGTGTGGGTTGTTTTTTGTTTTCAGTGTTAACAATAGCTGATATTATGTAAAACCCTTAAACTCTAATATTTGATTATACTTAGCTAACGTTTCTGGACATGCTCAGTGCTTGTGCTTGATAATTATTAAAATGTGTGCTGCCTTTACAATAAAGACAGAAATTATTTTTCTGAGTAGACTGAAGTATAAATGAGATGCAGAATTTTCCTTGTAATGAGTAAGTACTTGCTAGGAAAGTCAACTCACAAAAAAAAATAGAACTGTCAGTAGCTTGCTTCCAGTCCAAGTATTTATGCTCTGACTTGGCAGTGGACGAGAGCCACAGTCCAAAAAGTGGACTAAGTCTGCTAAGTAGTGACAGGAAAGTGAGTATCTGGCTCCTGTGCTCGTTATAATGATATTATATATTATAGCTATATTATAGCTAATATACTTAGCTGTTATTGTACAACCTTTGTTTTATTTGATTGGGTAAAGTCAGGAATTCGAGTTTAATCTTGGCAGAGGAGAGGAGACACAGGCAGCTACTGCCTAAGAAATCAAAAAGAAAGCCAACACCTTTGACTCCTCTTTTGAGGATGGGGGAGGGGGGCAGTAGAACTAATAATGGAAAAACAAGCTTCAGATACTAAAGCCACAATGCACTCTTACGTTTGTTGGTTGCGACGCCCCATTTGCTTCGTCTTTCAAATCTTGTGTATAGCCGGCTTAAATAATACCACAGTAGTTGCAACTCTAGAGAACTGAAAATTTTATGTTATAGGGAAGTCCCTTGCCATAATGCTTTCTTACAGTGGTATTTAATTACAGTGCTTATCGCTGCTTTCATTTGGTCATCGATTCAGGGCAAAAACAAATACAGAAATTGAAAAAAGGTTAAGTTGCCTGGCAGCGCAAGCTTTCTGTCTCAGTAGTGTGAACATGCAAGTGGCTGTTAGGGTCTTTTTTTGATTGTTTCTTTCTCACTTGCCATTTTTATATAAATTGAGTCAAACCCAACATTTTCAGTTTTATCCTAATCTGACTGAAGCACTTGAGATCTCATTGCACATTGGGGCCTGGAGGAGATTGAAGCAGATCTAGTGTTCCCTGCGTGCTAGAAACACATTAGCTGTAGTGTTTCAGTAGCCTTTGTACATGACTGAAAGGGAGGTGAGATCACGTAAGAGTAGTATTAAAAGCAAAAGATCACGTGCTAAAAACTAAGTTTTATTTATCATGCTAAAAACTAAATTTAACAAGGTGAACATAGTTGCATGCTTTAGCGTTTTTGTACGTAGGTATGTATTGTCTAAGGGACCAATATTGTTTTGGGTTTTCGGTAATAGGCAATATACTTCAGAGAGAAAATTCTTAAGGACTTTTTAATCATTTGGTTGGGGTGAGAGAAAAGTTGGAGAACTTAAAGCGTAAAATTCACGTGGCACTTCCAAAATGATATGCAGTTTGGGCAAGCCTAGAGAAGAGTGGTCTGATATGTAGGATCAAGGCTTCAGAACAAAATACGTTCTTGGAAGTAAGAAAACTGTATACACAGTGTAACCTTGTATAATTACTTATCTAGTACTAAGTAGCTGAACAGTCAATTATTAATTATACAAAGGAAACAAATGGTCAGAACTTGTTTTCTGCCATGTTGTACAACTTCTGTTTACTTTTTTTTCCTTCTTCTTGTGATTCAGTAGACCAGACTGAGTAGATGCTCAAGTGGCAGCTCATGCTCAGGTTACCCACTGTAAGGCTAGGAGGGCAGGAATATCTCCTGTTCTCCCTTGTTCTGCCGGACTGCAGTGTGAACACCACAAACCTCATGGCTGGTAGTGTAGAAGAATGGTTCCAGGATAGGGAACTGTCTTATTGTCAGCAGAACAGAAAAACAAATCTTTAAATGGATGGGTAGTTTCAGGAAAACTGAAAGATGTTTCTTGGAGGCAGCATTTAGAAGACCTCCTGTACCACCTGTGCAGTGCTTAATATTTTTGGAAGGATACTGTGTTGGTTAATCACTTTTCATAGTGATAGCCTGTAGTCACTGAACACTTTCCAGTACCTGAAGAAAAGCATCAACAGCTCATGACCTGTTGATTGTGAATTTTGGCTTAAAAATGAGTGTTGCAATGTTTCTTGCAAAAGTAATGTTAACATTTGTGAAAACCCACCCGTTGTGATGTAGGCCACAGTACTTGATTTACTATTTTTTTTATTATTCTTTATTTATAGTTGGTTGCAGGTAGTAACTATTCACAGACTGATGATTTCTATTATTTTAAAATTGAAAAGGTGGCTTTTGTCAGGAGAAATATTCAACATTAGTGAACTGAATTATTGATCACTATTTTAAATGTAACAGTTGCAGCCAGCTTGCAAAGGATTGGGTTTGAAAAATAACAAAATACTTTACCGGAGGGAGGAAGAGTGTGCATGAGGATAGAGTGAGATGGACAACACTGAGACATGACATGTATTAGTAGTAGTGTGGGCCTAATTTGAATTACTATACTTAAACAGCAATTTAAAATTCGTCAGTGAGAACAAGTAAGTCAGTTTACTTTTTGTCTACAGACTTTTAAACAGCGTTGTACACAACTGTTTCTCTCACAAAGGCAAGATATTTAGCAAAATTAATGTGGTATTGCAAAAGTATATTTCTCACCTGGAAAGACATCTGTTTTCTGAAAATATTTAAGTAATCTTATTTCATTGTGCGTGTGTAGGACTATTATAATTCAAGAATTCCATAATTGCAGCAATTTAAAATATAAAATTACTTTTGTAAAAGTGTATACGATAAATTCTACGGGCATATCACCTTTTGAGACCAAAATAAAAGTAATAAAAGATGGGGTGATGGTGAATCTATTAATTTAGCACTGTTTAATTCTGAATTAATTCTTCACTAGGTCCTGAAACATAGATCAGGCAGTGAAAGGAGATGATGAAGTGATCCATAGTGCTTTGATTTTCTCCATCCCTAAAATAAGTAGCACAGGTGATTATTCAGCTAACAGAAGGTTTCAGTCACAGTTAGCTTGCATAATCATTAATTTATATGCTTTCCTTTTCCTGGCTGCAGTTACCACATGCTTTAGGCACAATCCATAGCTGAAAACATTTAGTGTCTAGGGGGTTATAAATCTGTTTATAGCTTAGCACTGTTGACCACAAACTGCTATGAAGTCCTTTGTATAACTTCAAGATTCTAAATTAATGTGTTTTCAATTTGTGATCTGGGTCCCTAGCTGTAAAAAGACGCTTGGTTTAAGAATGTATTAGTAGAGGAACAAAGCTTTCCAGAACACAGTCTATATGACCTATTATGTGCCTCTTTTTAGGGTAAGTCTTCCTTTAGGTATACCAGTTCTTTCTGTGAAGTATGAAGGGAGTTCATTACTGTGAACTTTAGAGTCATTAGATGCTGTGCTTATGCCACTTTACTGTGTGCATGTGTGTACCTTTCTTCATATACATGAAATATATCAATGTGTGTGTTAAGTTTGCTGCCTAATGAAGTGTGATATTGCATAATCATATAGTTCTTGTGAGATTAACTGATGACTTCAAATGTTGTAATAGATACTCTGAAACATGTTTTAATGTAATCTACATATTAAAATGCTTTCAATATTTTAAAAAGTGCAAATATGAATATGTTTCTTCATAGTGGAGAATCAGGGTACAGTCTACACTAAAAGTCTTTCCGTTTTTTCTTTGGATTTTTCCAAGCAAGTAATGTCTGGACTGAGATATTTCCAGGTCCTTTATTTAAATATGGACTGGATATGTTCTGCCATTTAAAAAGAAAAATCAATTATAACAGACTGCAGTTTATAATAATAAGAGTTGACAATGTATCATGAAAAATTTGTCCTCAGCTACTCTTTAGAAATATGTTAAAAAGAATACTCAATAAACATGTTAAAATAGCTTAATAACAGAGCAGATGTCATATGTTTCACAAATATGAACACAGTGACACTGGGGTTACATGAAAGGACGTAATGTATCAGACTATAGGGAGTTTTGTTTCTGTTTTCCAAGCTGAGCATGGGATAGATTTTCTTTCCTAGGTTGTACTAATGTGCTGTTGTTTTGCCATCTTTGATAGCTAAATATTTCAAACATCTGTATGTGAAAGTAGAGCAATACAAGCTTTATCTTTTTCTATGTTTTTGTGTTTAGTAAACAGTCTCGTAGTAATCTAAGCAACAATCCAATGCTGTTTGTCACCGTTTCTTGTAAGACAGGTCTACGCTCCTTGTGAGTGGAAATTATCGTAGTTGAGAAAATTTATCCCATTATCGATAGAAACGCTTGCTGGAGCATTGTGTTTTGGTTTTGTTTGTATACCTTAGGGCTGTGTTTCCAGGAAGAACATGTGTAGCTTCTCTGCAGTTAAAAATGTGTTCACTTCCCTGCCATGACAGTTGTTGCATTCAAAAGTAGTATTTTGGATTTTGAAATCAAGGTATATTAACTGTTGCATTGTGTAGTTTGACGCAGTATTTTTCATTTAGGTCAATATTTTGCGTTGAAGATAAAATTGTCTTCTTTTTTGTTTGATGTAACATTCTTATGTAATAATTTACATTTAAACTGTGGTTTAATTCTCCTAGGTTGATAGTGAGCGTTGCTTCTATTGACTGCAAGTAAGCCTAAATCAAAACTACTCCAGAGTAGTGAATTCCTGGCTGCCCATTATGTGATTATTATGCTTTACAGTATTCTGTAATTTTAACCTGAAATTGCCTGAAGACATATTACTTTTTTCAAAAAATTGCACATCATAGAACAGCCCTAGTGTAGATGACCAAAATACAGCTTTTGTAATTCTTAAATATAGTTATTTTACAAACTTAATTTTCCTTGACCTTTTCCTTGTGTAGTAAGGTACTGTTTTCGTTGACTACCCATTATTTCAAAGTAGAGGATGGAGGTGAAAGATCAGTCTGTGTCACCTTTGGTTTTTTCTTCTTTGTGAAAGCAATGGCAATTCTCATTGTGACAGAAAACTATCTCGAGTTTGGACTGGAATCAGGTAACTCCTTTCTTTAGTGTTTGCAGCAGCTCTAGTGATTGCATGACCTGGAAAAATTATTTCCAGGCTTTTAAATGTTTTTGAGAATATCTGTGTTAAATGAACTTCCTATCTCGTACACTTTGCTTTGGAATGCAGATTTGAAGGATATCCTTTATATTTTCCCTTCGTTCTTTTAAATAGTGTTATCTTTAGCTACATTTGTTTTGTTAATTGTATTTGCCTTCCAGTTTTACATTTAACTCATTTCACCTTTCATAGTAAAGTGAAGCTACAAAAAAAAACACCTGCCTGCGTTTGTAAAAAATAATGGTAATTTTATTCATCCTACTGAAGTGTATAAATGTAATAGATGTTAATCAAATTTTATTGCATTATGGCGTACTAGTTATCACATGAAAGAGCTATGCTAGACATCTGAAAATTTATTTAAAAGATGATCTGTTACCTGGCGTTTTGTTTCAGAAGAGGGTTCTGCATTTTTACAGTAATAAAATAGACGTAATATGTATTTCTCTGCAGGATTCTCAAATTTCTCAGAAAGTGCTATGCAGTTTCTTGAAAAACAAGGTTTGGAATCCCAGTAAGTTTCTGGAAATATATCTGTCTGTCTTAATGTTCATTTATAACTGAACCACTTGGATTTTCGTAGCAAGCATTTGTCTTACATGTTTTGCTCTTGAACGTGCTTACAATCTCTATAATAATGTGGAGGAGTACGGTAATGAAGATAATTTGTCAGTACTCAAAGTAAATTAAGTTGGATTTTTGTTTTCTCTTTTTAATTTGGAGATAGTTTCTACCCTGACATTTTGGTTGTAGTTCCTAAAATACACTTCAAAACTATAACCGTTTTTTTCATGGTAATTCCCTTCAACTTTGCAAGGATTGCTTAAAACGGGTAACAGATATTTTTTAATATTCCTGTAGTATGCAAGAGGGTGAGTGTGCAAAAGCTACAGGTGGAGCTTGTGATAAAGCTGCATCAGTCCTGTTTTCAGGTTGTGATAGTGTTTTCCTATTGTGCAAAAACATCTGCTTGCTACAGGACATCTAAGTTTTGCATGGACTGTCAAAGGAGCGTGCCGTATCTCGTGATGTTACATAAGCACACAACTGCTGTCACAGACAGCCTTTCTATATTGGAAAATGTGTTGCTCTTGCAATTCTTTCCTTAGACACTTGCTATAAAATGCGTTTATGGGGGATGTCATCAGTGTGGTAGCGCAACTGTGATTTGGCTTGGAAGTTCTCAAGTATCGCGCAGAAGCTGGGGAATCTCGTTGAGGAACAGAAGTTTCCTCAAACTAGTTTTGTTGTGTCATTTATGAATAAATTAATGGGAAACCTTTAACTGTTTCTTAGCCCTTCTTCACTCTGCCTTTCTGTGTTTACTAACTTCTGTATTAATTTTCCTGTTAAGTGTGGCTTTATTTTTGAACTTTTGCACTGCTTCGCTGTTTACAGCAGCAATGGAGTTGATGGTGTCTCTTGCTGGATTATGTGACATAGATTAAGAAAGATTCTGAAATTCATGTGGGTCACTAGACTAGTTTTTGTTTGTCTTTAATATGTGTTAGTTGCATGTCACTTTTTCTCTTTTTGTGTGTGTGAAATCCAATATTTGTTAATTCCATAATTCAGCTGATCCTCAAATTGTTTATTTTTGGGACTACTTCGAAGTTCATTAAAACAAACTATATGAATAGCTTAGAAGAGACACGTTAATTGGCCACATGTATGTTTTACATAAATCCGTGAAAAAAATGCAGCACTTTGATGAAGCTTTTTAATGGAAAAGGTAGAGTGCAAGTAGTCTAACATAGATGTTTTGTTTCTGACCAGTTAAAGTTATGATGCGTCTGTTCCTCTCTTAAAAATTAACTATTTCTGTTAAATAATTCGTTGTTAATGACGATATATTTTTTATTTTTTTGTTACTTACTAACAGACTTAACCTCTTCAAGGCAGTAGCTTAGGTTTTCTGTTTTTCTAGGAAATAAATGAGTTATTTTTGTTTTGTTTGTGTTTTTTTTCTTTCAACTCCTGATTGGTTTTTAATAATGCTAGTATTCCAGAGTAAGCCTATAGAATACTGTTTGCTGTTTTTATTAAATGTTAGATACTGTTGAGTTGAAAGTAGTCTCTGATACCCCACTCCCCCAACTTCCTGCCCAAGAAAATGCTTATTTCCTTTCTTTTCTTTTAGGGGTCCTGTGTCTAAACTAACCTTCAAATTGTTCCTGGCTGTTCTGTGTTCACTTATTGGTGCTTTTTTGACATTCCCTGGCTTGCGACTGGCTCAAATGCATCTGGATGCTCTGAATTTAGCAACAGAAAAAATAACACAGTAAGAGAAAATATATGCACATAGGTATATGCTACTCAGTCTTTAATGTCTGAAAATAAACAAAGCAAACTATTCAAAAAAGAAGGTACTGACCAAGACTTCTGTTGCTGGCTGCTTTTTGTATCTTGAGCAGACTTGCCACCTGCCTCTTTCTGCTCAACCTGTGCTCTGCCAGTCTGTTACATTCTTTGCCTTGTCATTAGAGTCCCAATTAAAGGAGCTTTTCTTTCCTCCTCCAAAAGCACCATGAATGTTTCTGCTTACTGCTTTGTTTTCCCCATCATACCTTTTCGGAAATTCAGACAAGTTTCAGGCAGTAGAGATGTTTTTTCCCCTAAACCCTGCCTCCAGCTGGACATCATACCTTCAATAAATTTAGAGTAACATAAAAATAAAAGATGCCCCCCAATATTTAATAAGGGTCAGATATTATTAGCAGTTTAAAAGAATACTCTCTTTTTCAGACATCCTTGACTTTTGTAGAAAAGTGGTTTTTCTAATCTAACTGTATATCTTCAGCACTCTCTGGCCAAGTGAGAAACTCCAAGTGTCTTCCACAGATGTTGACCTTTGATACTTACTGCATGTTAGTGACAGATTCTGCAGTGTAGGCCACTAGTAGTAGTTTAGTACTAGTAGTAGTTTAGTCTGGTCACTTGCCTAAGGGAAACATTACGTTTTCTGACACAAAAAATTATTTATGTTCAAACAGCATTTTTTTTTTTTACTTTTCACCCTAAAATGCTCAGCTTAAAGATTAATCTGTGTTTAAAGTGGCCCTTCACTCTTGATAAATTTGTAACTGAGTGCTCTGTGCTGTACTTGCACTCATTGTAGCTCAGTTGCATCCAAGTAGAGCTGCAAGCTTGTCTTGGTTTAGAAGACAGGGGAAAGC